GTATTAAGGTACGAGTGCGTACCTTAATGCGTTCCTTACCACCCGTACCCCAAAATTAAGGTACGAGAATGGCTGACTCTGTACCTTAATGGCCCGCTGTACGGTAATCCCAGCGGTTAAGGTACGCACGACGTCATCCGTACCTTAAAATACCCCACCTTGTACCTTAAGCATTTACGGTGCAAGTAATTCGATACAGTGTAGCCGCTGTGCCCCGTTGCCAAATGCCTATACTGCCTGCACGCTTGCGGACGGGTTCTCCAGCCGTGGAGCATTGTCGCCCCGTGCGGATACGCAACCCATCCGCAAGTCTGCATGCGGGCTAGCATACGCATTAGCTAACACGGCCCACAGTGGCCAACTTGGATATAGGGATCGCCCAGAAAGTACGCCGGTTTCCATTAGACAAATTAAGGGCGCTTGGCCCCTGCGAAACTCCGGGTAGGCCACTCCACAATACTCCCATGCACTTTGGGCAAGATGTTGCCTACCCATCAGGCGCCATGAGAGCTAGCATGTGGAGAACCTGGCAACTTTCTAAACGGAGAATGTCGAACAAAATTTCTGTACGATCCCAAAGCAATCGTTTTGAAGTCAGCTTTAGCAGGCGCCGGCAGGCGCAGTATTGCAACGGGAACGGGACATTTGGTCTGGATTCTGGATTTAAATAAATTCCACATTTCTTATGTAAGCCTGTTCGAGGCGACACAGTCGCTGTTCTGGGCAAGCTTCGGCAACGTGGGAATCGACACGTTCGAACTGACGGGCATCAAGCAGTACACGCGCTTCTGGGGTCTGCTCATGTTCGGCGCGTACTCCGTCATCAACATCATCGTCCTGCTCAACCTGCTCATCGCCATGATGTCCAACTCGTACGCCATGATCGAGGTGAGTGTGGCAGCGCCTTATAAGATCGCAAACACAAACAAAAGCGTAACCGTGCCCACCCCACCGCGCTCAGGAACGTTCCGACACCGAGTGGAAGTTCGCCCGCACCCGCCTCTGGATGTCGTACTTCGAGGAGGGCGCCACGCTGCCGCCGCCGTTCAACATCCTGCCCACGCCCAAGAGGCTCATGCACCTCATCCGCCCCAAGTCGGGGTTGCGCAGGATGTCCACGAAGGTACAGTCGCCGCCGTCGCGCTCGCCTTATGATGACTTTTGCTGCCCGAGGAGGAGGAGGGTCCCCGATAACGTTTGATATCGGCCCGCTGCCGCAGCGCAAGGAGCGCGTGGAGCGGGAGCGCGACTACCGGTACTCGGCCGTGATGCGCGCGCTCGTGTGGCGGTACGTGTCCAAGTCGCACCGCGCCTGCATCGAGGCGCCCGTCACCGAGGACGACGTCAACGAGGTCAAGGGCGACATCTCGGCGCTGCGCTGCGACCTGCTCGAGGTCATGTCCAGGAACGGCTTCGACGTGAGCGCGGTGCGCGCCGCGGACGACAGGAGTGAGTGCCTTGTGGAGGCAGTTGTCTGGACCGTGGACCGTCTTCGCGCCTCCGCCCGCCACTCACCTCGGGGTGTGCTCCACCTGCTCCTGTTCGCAGACCCGGGCAACAAGCGGCAGCGCGTCTGGGAGCGCCGCCTGCTCAAGGACTTCCACGTTGCGCCCGTGGCCACCGTCGACGAGGAGGAGCAGCTCATCATGGCGGCGCCGCCCGAGAACGAGACGGGGCTGCAGCGCTTCCGGCGCGTGGCCAAGCTCGCCGTGCTGCAGGCCAGCACCATGCGCTGGCGGCAGGTGGGGCCGGCGCGCGCACCTGGCTAACAGGGCAAAGTGGAGCAATAACCGAGGGGTACTTCACTCCTTCAAAAAAATAATGGCCAACCTAAAAAAAAAAAGAAAAAAAGATTTTAAAAAATGGGGTAAACCAATAAAAACAACAGAAAAAAATGGGGGGAACTAGGAAAAAATAAGGAAAAATTGAGCAAAAACAGAAAAAAATGGTGTATGCTTGAGATTATAGTATAGTACAGTGAAGTACGCCTCGCAATTAATACGGATACTGAAAAGTAAAAAGTATTTTCCCTCCCGCGGCGTACTTGCAGGTGGTGCAGGGGCTGTGCCAGGCCTCGCAGATCGGCCGCTGCCACAGCCGCGAGTCCTTCATGAACCAGCAGAACCTGCAGCGCGCCATGGAGGAGGCGCGCCGGCTGGTGCTCGAGAGCGACAAGGCCGGGCGGGGGACGTCGCCGATGCCGCCGCTGCCCGTCAACAACCGGAACTTCAGCGAGCTGCTGCGGGACGAGAAGCGCCCCGAGGGTGAGACGAGTCGGCAGTCTTGTAGAGGTTAGGGTCGGCGTGTCGTTCGAGTTCATACAGTTTGAAACGGGCCTAGGTGTCTAGCACCGTGGGGCCCTAGGCGTCTAGCACCGTGGTATCACCTTTACCAAGGTTTATTACGACAGTTGAGTCATTATCATTGAGTTACCAATGTAACGCGGCCCGTACACTAACCTAGACCACGACACCAGGACGCCTTTAAAGATTGTGTAAACTTACTTTTCCGAAGCCAAACTTTACAGAAGCACTGTTGGACACAAGAATGCTTCTTCAAAACAGTGTAGACTTGGCTGTTTTGTGTTTTACAAATACTACAAAACGTGGTTACTGACTTGGAGAGCCGATGACGGCCGATATCGCACCATCCACTTCCACTCGCGGTAAAACACAGTACGGTCGCCTGCATTCTACTTTGTTGAGGGGCGGCGGCAACTCCTCAGGGCTACATTTCTCTCGTTAGCGTTCGCGGATTGAGAGTCCACCTGATTTTTACGATCCATAAGCTTCAAGTAGCCAACTAAACGTTTTTCAATACGCCGGGCGTAAACATCATGCCACGACGCCAGACGTGTTGATCGCGCTCGCGTTTTGGGTTGGGAACTCAAAATCCCCCTTTCTTTTTATCGGGCACCTCCCTCTAAACCGCTCTCCTCTCCCGCAGACGCTGGCAGCACCGCGACGACGACACTGCACCCGTTTGCCGAGCGCCAGGGCAGCCTGATGGGCACGGTCGCGAGGGCGGCCCGCCGGCCGGCCGCGGCTACGCCTGCGACCGCGACTGCCGCCCCAGAGCAGGAGAAGCACGCCGTCGTCCAGCCAGAAGTCGGCGTCGTGCCTCAAAGCCCTGCTGCAGAGGAGGTGACGGCGTTCAGCGGGGCCTTGGGCCTCGAGGACGATGCCCAGGCCCAGATCGTCCAGAAGTCGGACGAGGACGAGAGAACGTCCTCGTCGTCCTCCGACGGGGGCCTGGGGTCGTCCGACAACGTTCACGACCCGACAACCAGACCGCGTCTGAGCGTGAGCCAGGCGTCACCCGAGTTCCTGTCTCACCCTATACTGCGGCGCCGGGATGCGTCTCCCGACCTCTTCGCGGACGCGAGAGACGCCTCCATCCCACCCTCCTGGCGCGCGACCCCCAGCTCGGCGAGGTCACCGACACCGAGGGACTCCCCGGCGCGCACGCCCGCCCTAGAGCGAACCCTGTCGTCCCAGGACGACGCGCAACCCGAGAAGCAGAAGACGTCCCTGTCGGCGGACACTTCACCGGACGCATACCCCAGCAGCTCACCGAGCAGGGAGCTGCTCCAGGTCCCCCAGGTGGATAATGGGCGCAGCACGCCGCCCGGCCTCGCCGCTATCCAGAAGAAGACCAAGTACCAGCACCGCGCAGGTGCCTGGTTGTAAATATTCACCTCATTCTGTGATGTTATTAGTTTCGTCGACGCATTTAATTTTCTCGTTCTCACATTTTACACTGTTTACGCTATGGTTCGAGTTAAGACTATTTCTACAATTTTTAGCCCGCCCTTCTGCTTTGGAAAAGTAATAAAGCGGGCGTATGTAATCGATCTGGTATCCTGTCTGTCTCGGTGTCTCTTACCGTGTAGGTGCTACGCGAAGAATATCTTCACGAAAATATACAAAACAATCAGAACGCTGTGCACGAAGTCATAGAACACGGTGTCCGCCCAATCAAAAATTAAGAGAGGTAATCCCCGGCCCGCCCCCTCCCGCCGCCCATTCCGTGTGAACCTCAGAATGCCGAACCGTGTTGCCAGTGAGCTGCTGTTTGAATGGAGTTGCCTGGGCAGCGGAGCAGAGCAGGCAACTTCGTTTGGTGGAAGGGCAGGCCTGCTTGCTTTTTAAAGTACCAGATTTTATAAACACAAAAAAGGTGCGTAGGTACTAATGAGAAACCGTTTCCACCGATGAGCTCGTAAACGTTGGCATTCAAGTTGATTGTTGATACTTACAATTAAATCATGAACGTAATTTTCGGCCTATCCTAAAAATAATCTCTTATGACTTTAGTACGAGGAAGGTCAGAGAGAGAGTTTATCGAGCCGTCTTCGTCATTTGCTTATGCTTTTATTGCTCGATTGACCTTTCCAACGCCAAAAAGAGTGAAAGCATTTTGTTTGTGGTGAGAACAAATTTTAATCGAGTATCTCTACCTTGACGAACTTCCATTTCAGACTCAGTCCACAGCGGGAAGCGTTTCCCGCGAAGATAAGGTTTTTTTATTCCCCTTGCATCAGCAGTGACGTATTTGCCCCACTACCGAGAATCCAGCTGGTCTTGCAAATTTCAAGCATCACGCACGGTGCACTGTAGTTGCGGTCTTATACAGAGTCATCCCCGATTTGAACATCGTTAATATTGGTAGGCTCGTCGATGCAGAGGCGGGTCACAGACGCTGACCCCTGACCCCGTGGTCGCGGTTGGCCCGTGACGCCCACTCGATGCCGAAGGGCTGGCGCTGGTGCCAGGCCCCCGGCGTACACGCACCCGCGAGCCTTACGTATCGCTTTTGTTTACAGCCACTCATCTGCTCAGCCCGTGTTCGATACCCTTTTCGGGTGGCCGAGACTTTGCTCTCGACTGATAAATTTGATCCGTTTATCCGATTATTTGTGAGTATACTTTATTTCGGTTCAGCCCGAATCAGAAAAAGGGGTGGTGAGGGACGGACTGAAAAAAAAAACTTGTAATGTATAAGATCGTGTTGGCTAGGCTCTTTCCTTTGCCACTCTATGACGTGTAATGTGGTCTTGCACATGCGTATGAAGAGCGAAAGTATGTAGTGGGGGAGATAGTGCAGCGCCTTCCATGTCGTTTGGCAGGTTATCTCACTTCCCCGTTGCCACAGAGTCCGACATCCCGAAATAGGAGAGTTAAATAGTGAAACGATAGTGCGGCGGGGCGGGATGTAGGCGATGGAGGTCGCCAGCACCGACACGTGCAGCGGCCCTAACGATCAGCAAGTCTTCCCGCCTCCTCAGCTTAGTCCCGGCGGTCAGTTGTCAACTGTCCACAACAACCACATAGTAGTCCAACTTGTATGAGACTAACATTATTCCCTCCCACGTACAGAGGGCAGTAACACTGACTTGAAAAGGGGTCGTCAATAATTGGCATACATCACATTACTAATTATAATGAATGTCGGGGTTCGTTTTTCTATCGCTTTGGCATCCGCGCGTTCAATTGAAGAAGGGTTCTATCTACATCTCGAAGGGGCCGTCCGGGTGATGCGACACACGTTACATTAGCCAATCGAGCTGGAGGTCACGGCACGCAATAGGCAGGCGAGGTCATGTAATGACCTACTTTACGTTTGGATGTCAGGAAGCAATGTACTGCGACGCGCCGCGATCGTACTGGTCGCCAAAAAGAGAGACAAAGAAGGAGAGAGACCGATAGAGAGAGAGAGAGAGAGAGAGTGAGGGGGAGAGAAAGGGGACGCGCAACAGCGCGGCGGAGCGCGAAATAAAATAAGGCCCACGCTGATATACGGCCCGGAAGTAGTTAAATGTTGCAGGCTGACGTCAAATGCGTGTAATGTGTGAGGTTCATTTACACTTGGCGCATTGGGCACAAATCGTCCGCGACAGAGAAAGAAGAGCGCCCGTACGAATGTGCCAAAAGTGCCGGCCGCTGAACTGCACCTACCACCACAGCCGCGGCGCGCGGCCCGACCCGTCCGCACCTTCGGTTTTAAATTTTATTCATAGAACGACTCCGGCTGGTGGTCGGCTGACTGAACCAGCCTGCAACAAAACTGCAACTTTGCGCTCAGGAACCGGACTGCAGGCCGCAAAGCGGCAGCAGCTGAGCAATCCGGGGCGGCCGGGGCCGGGCCAAGTGCAGTTGTCCTTTATATATGCCGCCGGTGAGCGAGAGCGAGGCGAGGGCCCGGCTGGCTGAAAGCCGAGCTGAAAGCGCTCCCCGCGGCTCCTCCAGGATTCCGCTCGCAACGAGCCCGCCGCGCCAAGAAGGAGAACGAGAAGTTCGGAACTGAAAAGGATTATTGACTTGAAACGAAAGCGACGAAGCTCTGCGGCAATAACGCCGTGCGAGCGCACGACGGCCGAAAATATACGCAGCAAAATGAATGAATGCCGAAACTTTCCTCGATTCGCGCCTGGGGTTCACCCGCCGCCGCCCGCGATGACACCCGGCGACGCTGCGCTGCGAAATCGCTTGCCTCGGCTGGTCCTCGCGGCGCGGCCAGCCCCGGCCCGCGACATCCGACGAGCGCGGCCGCCGATAGGCTTGCATAAGCTTGCAATGTCTGTTATTATTCCCCTCCTTCGAGACAAAAAAAGACGACCTACCCGGTCCAACTGGCGCCGCTGAATTGGCGTTTCGGCTCGATTTGGAGCTGACTGTGGAGGGGCTGTCGGCCTGGTGCAGCCGCCGGCGCGGCGTCCTTCTCGAAGGGGCTGTACGGCCACGTGCCGCGGCCTGCAGCACTGCATCGCAACCGCGAGGGCGACTGGTGGAGAGGCCTCTACCTCACAGTCAGGGACAGGCCTCGGCCTCTGTCCTGCCGAGGACGTCCCCGCCCCGCTGCCACCTGCCCGGCGATGTAGCTTCCACCTGGGGAGCTGCATACACCACTTCATCGCAACCGGGGCCGACAGGCGCTAGAGACCTCCACCTTGGGGACGGACGGGCCTCGGCCCTGCCGAGGACGGACGTCCTCGCTGCCGGCCGGCCAGCCTGCCGCGCGACGCCCACCCATCACGTATCGCCCAGCACCACCCATATCTGAGGCCCGGCCGGCCGGCCCGCCCGCCCCTTAAGCGCGGCCCCCATAGCAGCGCGCCCTGGAGCCGCACACAAGAAGAGGACTTTGATCCCCATTGTGAGGGCCATTGTGGATCACGGGATCCGACGAGCGGATCCCATGCGCTCCGATAATGCCGTGGGGCTGTGGGGCTGCTGGGGGACGCGGGCAATGCGCCCTGGCGTGAGTGAGCCGCTCAGTGTTTGGTGGCTGCTGCTGATTGCAGATAAGGCCACCTCTCTCTCCGCGGTACGGGGGGACGCGTCGCGTCGGCCAGCACGGCCGTCATGGAGACCCGGACCGTCGCGCACCTGGCCAGGCTCCTGGCGCCTGGCTGTGCAGCCGGCCCCCCGTGTGAGTCACGGCTGCGCTGGAGACAAAGCTCACCGCGGAACCCGGCGGCGGCGCCCCGGCCCCGGCGCGGCCGTGTTTCTGATACGCCACACTAGCAGTTTTGTTGCTTTATCCGGCCCTTGCTTTACACGTCCGGCTGGCACAGGCCCGTTGCTAAAGAGAACGGAAGTGGAGATGCCAATATACAAGGTTTGGCGGAAGGGCGGGCCTCTAGCGTGTTTTTGTATTGGTCTCCATAGACCGTGCACAGGGCGATGTTTGCCTACCAAATGCGTGGCACTGCCCCTGCCAGCCCCGCGGGGCCGACGCGGGGCCGCGACCGCCAGACATCGCGATCCTGCTTGACTTGCCGAGGTCAAATACCGTTTTCTTTTCCACGACGGCAAGCCAAGCGGCTCCAAAGTGTCACACACAACACACACACACTAAATCCGCGTCGCTAAACGCGCGCTATCGACCATCGCGGCGGCCTCGACGGCGGCGGCGGGGCTTCGGCGGGGCCTCGGCAGGGCCGGCCCGGACCTCGTGCTAGGTGGCAGTAGTGCTCACGCACCACACGTAATGCGGGACAGACGGGTCTGATTCATACTTTTGCAAAGCCTGTTGTGGTTCCGCGCGCGGCCGTTTGAGTCGCCGTGAGTTGCGTGGCGCTGGCCCGCGCGGGGCGGGCGCCTCTTCGCGCCGTCAGCGTCTCCGCGCTGCTGAATGGCGGGTGACGCTACGATACATTCATTACATTGCACCTAATAACTGCGCCCCCCTCCCCCTCGCCCAGCGGGGCCTGGCGGGGCCTGGCGGGGGCACCGATTGCGGACGAGAGTAATGTGTCGGCGGGGAGGGGGAACAACTAAACCGGCGAGGTCAGAGCCCTTCCTTTTCGGTTACTCGATCAGCGTGCGTAGTGGGCACGGCTACCCCCCTCCTCCTCTCCACCCCTCCTCCCCGTTTCCCCTCCCCACCCGCCACCCGCGGGCGGCTCGAGTCTGCGCCCTGGAGGTATCATCACACTCGGCCCGGGTAATCGTCGCCCATCAGCTGATTCCCGATGAATCTTTCGCTGAGGACGGCGTCTCCCGGCGCGGCGGGATGCGGGGCGGGGCGCGGTGGGACGCGGGGTGTGGAAGCGCGGCGGGGCGCGGCCACCCATCTTCCGTGGAGGGGGGTGTCTTGTCGCGTGCGCCC